ATGGCCCATTAGGTTTTTTTAGGAGTGTTTTAATTTCCACTTGTTTATAAATTTCTCTAATTTCTCCTATTGTTGATTTCTCCTTTTAATTTCACTATAATCAGATGACATCTGCAGACTTATAATGCTTTTCAATTTGTTAAAGCTTGTTTTATCACCTAGCATTTGGTATCTTCTGGAGAATGGATCATAATACCTTTGGCAAGATATGTATTCTCTTCTTGTTGGGAGTATCTTAACAGATAGGTGTCTCTTAGATCCAGTTGGTGTGTAACATGGTTCAGTTCTTCTACTTCATTGTGCTTTTGTCTTGTTTTTCTGTCAATTAAGTCTCTAAATTAATTTTTGAATTGCACTAATTTTTTTCCATTTCATATTCTTTAGAGCTAAGTTGTTCATCACGTTTATGTTTGTGAGTGCTGTGGCTTCCTGGCAAGATTGATCCTGTTATCATGACCTGATATTCTTTTTTGTCTTTCTGACAAAACATTTTTTGCCTTAAAAATTTGTTCTATATGTTACTGGTATAACCATTCCAGCTTTCTTATATTTATTGCTCTCATCTTTATTTTTATTCATCAGTTTAATTTCAACTTCACTGTCTTTGAATCTAGAATGTTTCTTTTAAAATAATAATACATTTGGATAATGGGCTTCTTTATTTGGCTCTATTCTGATGTTCACCCTTTTGATCATAGTTTTTCAACCATTTTACACTTAATAGTTAAGATTTATGTCTGCTGATTTAGTATTTGTTTTCTGCATCTTCTGTACTTGTTTTTTTTCTGCTGATTTTATATTGGATCATTTCTAGTGTACTTTTAAAATTCACTTGTCTCTTTTACAATATATGTTGACGTTTTTTAATGGCTACTCTTATAATTTCTAATTTAAAACAATATAATTCAGACTACCAGTATCTTAAATTTATTTGTATATAAGAACTTTATGCCAGTTTAATTTCATTTCCTTTTCCTTTGTACTAGCATTAGAAAACAAATTTAATTTTTATATAAGCTCACTGAGATTTACAGTTGTTTTGTCATTGTCATTAAAAAAAAGAAATGAATTTTCAATACAAATTTCTTTTTCATTCAGTAATTTATATACGTATTGTTTCGTGACATTGATTTATATATGTTTTCTTTCATGAACAAGTGGATAAGAAGTTGTTCTGTCAACCCAAAGGCATGTGGCTGGAATCCACCAGTTCCTCCATAGGACAAAGATGGGCAGATTTTTCCCAGGCAGTTTAGAGTCTCTGAAAACGTGCTGGAGGATCAGAGTCAGTGGTTCCGAGGATAGTGAGTGAGTTAGTTACAGTGTTGTTAATGGCATTCTTCCCACTTTCTTCTGGTGTTTATCCTTTTCCTGCCTTCTGAACTGTATCTTTGTGCAGATGCTGCTCTTTTGCTCTTCAGTGGTTGATGGTTTTAAGAAATGTGCATCTTCCTGCTGTTATTGTTCCTTTTATAAGCCTGTCTGTTGTTTGACTGACAGTTGATCTACAGAAATTAGTTCAGTTCAAGTCTTTTTTTTTTTTTTTGAGCCTATGACCTTTATTCACGCCCCTCCACAGAGTACAGTCGGAGACAAGGCCCCTGCTCAAAGCAAGATAATCTGGAGCTAGGACTCTGGTCACATCCTCAAAGTCCCTTGCCCCTGACACTCTCCTATGAGTAGAAAGTTTATAAAGTGCTGGTGTGTGACAGATCCTCCAGGCCTCACCCCTATAGCTGCAGGGACTCTTGAAGGGCAGAGCACAGCAGAGGTTCCCAGGGGGCTGGGAAGAGCCCCCCACCACCACTGGGGCTGGGGACACTCAGTGCAGTCCTGGGCTGATCAGTTCAAGTCTTGACGTTTATATAGTCTTGGCTGTTACACTCGTTCCTGTCAGATAAGGAAGCTTGGTATTTTTGTAAATGATATTTGAGTTTTGTTCTACATTTTTCTCCTACTGTATCTTGGACCTTCTGCTATGATCCTTTTAAGAATCCCACACCTTCTAATTATTTGAATTTGTGGTTGTAGAGAGTTAAGGTTTATGTGGGCCGTTAGTCCTTTGGCCTGATTGCTTTCATACATCTTTGACTTTCTTCACACTTTTGCTTCATTTAGAGGGGGACTACGAGTTGCATGTTAAGACTTTTTCTTTCACTACTTTGAAGATGTCATTGCACTTTTGGCTGCTGTGATTTCTATGAAGATGTCAACTCTTTAATAGTACATAAGTTTTATTACCATCTATCTAAGTGTGGATCTGTTTAAGTTCATTCAATTTGGGACTTTATTGTCATAAAATGTTTAGATTAATATTATTTCACATAAAATTTGGAAACTTTTTAGCTTTAATTCCTTTTAAATATTTTTGTCTCTTTCTCATCTTTCAGAAATACTGTAGGTTTATGATGTTGCCTTGATATCTCAGTAGGTCTCTATGGCTCTGATAACTTTTCTTTTTTTTATTATTATTAAATTTTGTTAGTTTTAATGAACATTTACAGAGATGTTGGGTTTTCATTCATTCACTGTTTTCTCCACCCTCCTCCCCAGTTCGTTCTTCTTCCCACCCCCCCGAATGTCTGTTTTAATTGTCCAATTGCCACAGTGCTTGTCAAAGCCACTTCTGATTAATCTCCTTTGTCAGTGTGTCCCTTGCCATTCCCTATCACTCCTCCCTGAGAGAGACTTCACCCTGATTCATAAGGAAAAGGGGATGGCGTA